TTTCCCATCCTCTTCCACCACCCCGCTCCTCTTCTTGGATCTTAGTTCTCTATCTGAAACCTCCCTCCAGTGGTCTCATAGACCCTGGAGAGGTTTTTGCTACTTGGCCACATGCTACTTGCTCCCAGCCTTATCTTCTCCACTGATTCTAATCTGACCCGGTATATTGTAGAGTTGTGCAACCCGTCTCCCTGTTTCTATTCATCAGAAGAGAACCAGGGTATCTGGTACACTAAGCCTTGTTACTCTAAGTTTGAGGCCTTTCGTGTGACTTGTAAGGCCCTGTGCTTCTCTCATTTCAAATTTCTTTCAGTTATTTGAAGATACTAACCTCACTCACTTCTCCGGGGCCTTTAAAAGGCGGTTGCTCTCTGCTTGAGCCACTCTGACCACAGCCTTCAGTGTGGGTGGCTGTGTCTCCTCACTCAGCTCTTTGCTCACATTTTACTCCTTCTCACAGTTGTTCTTTAACTATCAATGGAATTGTGACCTTCTACCTGATTTTTTTTTTCGTCATATCATTTGGTTTCATTTTCAACAAGTCACTGACCACTTTATGAAATTAGTTATTCATTAAGTTGCTTGCTTGTTTGTCTGTGTCCTCCCCTCAAAGGGAGCACAGGCTGAGCAGTGACCCAGTGTCTCCAGGTCTTGGATGTTCTTCCAGACACACTCTGGGATTGAGTGACTCACCCAAGGAACAACTTGGAACTAAACATCTTTTTTAGTTGTATGAAATGTAATTGACACAAACATCAGTGAGCAATGCTGTTCTCATCTTTTGAGAATTCATTCATACATATAAGTATGTACCCTCTGTATTTTTAGATATTTTTATATTTTAAATATTTTAGATATTTTAGATATTTTTCTGGCATTATAGTTTTTTTTTTTTTTAGTCCTGACCTTTCCACTTTGAAGACTCCCTGGATTTAGGTGGTTGTTAGTTCTCTGACATCTCAAAGGCACTTCTCTGTACCTTTTCTAGTTCCACTGTATCTTGGTTAAGTCTTAGTCATCAGAAAAACCCACAGAATTTCGTTTCTTGTGTTTACCTTGGTGATGCCCCATGTTTTGCCATGGTTTTGGTTGCAGTGCTATGGTTTGGGAAACCATCATTGAAGAAAAATTCTTGGGTGATTCTCTCAGGTATTTTCATGGAAAGATGACAAAGTCTTAACCTGGAACATTTAAAATTTCTCACTATCTATATGTCCATTTGAAAATAATTTAATATTTCCTAAAAACTCAGATGTTTGGAAACTTGAAGAACTTTCTATCACTTGTTCATTTGGAGATTTGGGGGGAACTTTTGTGTTTCCTGCTTAATTCATTGTGGCGGATTTTATAATGATGCTAGTTTTCACATGAAATGCTGAGGAATCCTTCACACTACATGTCTTCATTGAAACACACACACATTTAAATCTCCTGGACTTACTTCTATAATAGTTTTTTATCTTTAAAATATTGCCAGTCAGCTCCTAATGCAGCCTTAGCTGACTTTTTTTTGTCAAAGACATTATTTTTTTAAAGTATGCATTTGTCTTGCCTTTGGAATTCTATTCAGAGTGCTACAAAAAAAATTGCTTTAATTACTGTTTTTTAATTTTACCCTAATGTACCTTAAATGGAAATCCTCCTTTTTCTTTTCTAGGGGATTTTCTGTTTTTGGAACTCCCTGCCACCCCCACCTTGGTATTTTATGTGTCACATGGGCATGTGGGATTTTTTTCCAGGCACCCTTCCTGATACTAAGAAGTGCTCAATACATATTTATTGAATGAATTTTGAATACAGGCCCACAATATTTGTAAAAAATGTCTTTGGCATTTTACAAAACTTGTCTGTCAACAATGTAACATTAGATAACATCTAGAATGTGTCTAGGTTACCAACATTCTATTTTTGGACCAGGGATTGAACCTTAGGGTACTTTATTACTGAAGGACATCCCTAGTTCCTTTTGTCTACATTTTGAGTCGGGGTCTTGTTGAGTTGCTGAGGCTGGCCTCAATTTGTGCTCATCCTGCCTCAGCCTCTCAAGTTGCTGGGATTACAAGTGTGTACCACTGGCCCCAGATCTAACATTCTTAATTTTTAACTAATGTCTCAATTTTGCCATAGGTCTATGCTCAAATTGAGGAGGTTTTTTTTTTTTAAGATCCCTTTTTCCATAAAGGTATTTTTATGGAATTATTTGAATCTAATTGTATTGTCTTGACTATGTATTTATACTTAATGGCTCCCCAACAAACATCTTCTAAACCAATATCTGCTCATCTCTTGAGACCCAGCCTAATATGTTTTCTCCCCATGTGAATTGCTGAACTAGTTGTTTCTAGAATCAGTGCTTTAATTTATGTAAAAGATAGTCATCTACATATCTTAGCTTAAAGGATGAATTTTGCTAGTGTCCTTGGTGAATGTAAACACATTTTTATACACTGGAAAGTCTAATATTTATATTCATAATTTTCTTTTCTGTCTGACTGCTCCACAGAATGATTTGTTTTATCACTTTTAAAAAATATTTTTATATAAACTTCATACTAATTTGATTTCTGACAAGATTTTTACCCTATTTTTTGCTTGTTTTTTATAAAGAACAGTAGGATGTCTTCTTGCTTTCATCTTTTCTGTGGACTTTGTATTCTTGTGACACCAGATTTTTGAATTGCTAATTCTAGCAAGGCAAGCACGCACTTGAGATTCTTGCAAAATAATTAACTCTATATTCTGTGTTTATTAGGTCCCCAGTATTGGCACATAAATTTATATAATAAGGCTCACTGTCTTGGTCTTTTCTTCCTAATATTTATCTTGTATTTATTCCTTGAACATTTATTGCATGGCCATGGGCATGTTTCGAGTTCCTCAAGGGTGTGAAAGGTGAACGGGAGGCAATATGCTCTTAAGAAATTTACAAACTACTGAGCAAGCTGCTGTGGGAAAAAACTATTACACACACAAGATGCAATTAAAAGAATAGTGATACTAATAAATAGAGGAAGGAGGAAAAATATTTCTAAGAGGTTTTATGGAAAAGAAGGATCTTGAGTCTTGTTTTTCAAGGTAGGGCACAGTAGGTAGAGGAGACCTGGAGCAAAAGTCTGGAGCAGGAGAGTCAAAGATGTACAAATAGAAAATGGAGGAACAGATGCCTTAGTGGAGGCTGTGTTGTACAAAAGGGTATAGAGAGGGCAAATCTAGAAACTGTGCTGGGATTATGGCATAGGGAGCCCTGAATACCAAATCTGTGGACGTTTTGGTAGGGATCAGGAAAAAAAGATTGCTGTTCAGAGATGTGCCCTTATTACTAATAAATATAACTACCAATTCCTATGAGCTCAGAACTACGATACTATATACAACATGAACAATAATACTGAATGCACGGGCCATATTCCCATTTTATAGAGGGAGAGTATGAAACTCTAAAAATGAGATTAATCTGGTGAAATTGCAAACATGGGTCATAGAATGTTGGGACCTAAATCCAAACTATTAACAGAAGCAGAATCAACAGAGTTGACTAAACAAAATATTTTTGTCTTTTCTTCCCATTTAAATGCTGTCAAAGGTACCCAAAAGATATTGTTTAAAATTTACAGTCAGGCTCCTGAATTGGATCACAAAACTTTGAGGAACACCTTAAAAGTGAAAGAGGTAGTTTGAAAGATAAACCATGGCTCCCAATGTTCACTGGAAAGGCCTGGTAGGGAAGCAGAGCTCAGGGTGTGCCCCAGGCTGGGGTGCAGTTTCTAGTAGCAGGGCAGGGGCCATGCAGCAAGTTGTAGAGTCTTTAGCAGGAGTAGACAAGGGTCCCCATCTCCCACCCTTTGGCCCAGATAGTGACAGTGTGTCCATACCAAAGAGGGCTGAGTCAGCATGGCAGCCCCAGGAGCGACAGGAGGTTCCTGTCCAGAGTAACCACAGCAATGCACCAATTAAAACATCTACACAGCACACATAGCCCCCCTCC